GTACCAAAATTGCTGTATAACCCTTGTGCCTGCCCCATCAAAAGAAGCTGAAAACGAGGAAAAATAGTAAATAAAGAAGGACTCAGTAGTCACGGCCCGAATGTGTGCTGCAATGTCCCACACGATCTGCAAACTGCAGCCCATTTGCGGGCTGTATAACTGCCATTATTGGTGGCTGCCCCCCCCCCCCCCCGACGAAGGTTTATGGTCGTGTGTGGAAACCATTCTCTTCTGACGCTCCACTTCAGATATGTGGCGTAGATTGCTATACTTGAGAGAATAAAAAAAAACTCACGTCTTTTATTGCTTGGAAGAAATTGAAATCCGTAGACTCCGGTATGTCACAGTCAGAAACACCCTTCGCCTGAAGAGAGAAGCTGATTAATCTTTTTTTTTCTGATGCCACTAAAACGTCAAATTAACCTTATTGTCAAGCAATCCAGAGAACCACTGATCAGGCTTCCGTTCGTTTTTCACAATAGTCACATCAACAGAGACAGTTGCTTCACATTCCCTTTCTTTAGAGACTGATGACGAGGAGGTAGTTTCAGATGTTTGCGGCGGGATACCACATGAGCTGAATGCTTGCCATATTGCCTCTAAAATGAAATTCTGCTTTCGAGAAAATATGAAACTATAAAAAGGCTGTCCAGATCTAATCGATTTTGGGGACGAGCGAGGCAGAGCAATGAAACTCGGTTAAAGGATGAGGAGCAAGGATCACACCACTGATAAAAGGTGAATATTTGAACAAGACCTCTCAATGACCAACAAGGAATGGTATTGCGTACCTTTATCTTCCTCATCCGGTTCCAAGTCTGAGTCTTCGCTGCTTTCACTCATAGCCTCGATAATCGCCAGTAAACGATCCAGTCCCTGTTTTCCCGTAATCTAAACGTGAACATCGAAACCAAATATTAACAATCGATTTATGGCTGCAGCTGCTCGTGTGACGTCCCACGGGGTCCGAGTTTCGCTGGACTTTTTATCGTCATCTACATTCTTTCGTTTCCATGAAAAACGACCAATACAGCTATGACGCATAATACTGACCTTCTTGAAATTGTCCTTTTTGAGTTGCCACGCAACGTTTTCGATCACCTCTACAACCCTTGCGATACCACACTTTTCGCTCAGCGATTTTGCTTCTTCTCGCTGACTCTGGAACGCAAAGGCGTTTGAGCTTTAAAACATTACACCATTATTATACAGTCAAACGCATACCGGGTCAGGGTTCAGAATTACTAGCTCGAATCTGAAGCTATGAGCCCACGATTGAGCAAAATTTAAATCATCGTGCATGCAGTTATCCACAACCAAAACCTGAAAATGATGAAATGAGCAAATGAAATCATCCCACTAAAGTACTTTCGAAAACTCACATGAGAGTCGCAATCAACTTTCTTCACCACACTTTCCATAATTTCCAGTTCGTCCTTCGTACCAAGTCTAGGCAACATAATAATATCACCGTTGGAATGAGAATGGTGTATCTAATATTGTAACCATGTCTATCAAAGAACAGATAGGACATAAGGAATGTATCAGCTGAACACCTACAGCGGCTGATGGAGTAATTGCCATTACCCAGCACCGCTTGTTAGGGAAACAAATTGAAGTCACTTAAGACGGCTGCTTCACCACAAACTGGTAAACAAGAAAGAAAAATAAGGAAAACCAAGGAATGCAACTTACTTGAGGATTATCGCACCGATCATAAGATCGGGATTTTGCCTCTTCATTTTCAAAAGATCTGCACCGGTATTGAACTGACGAACGCCTACATGAGCTTGGTAGTACTTGGTATCCAAATGAAAAACGGCTGTCGTGCTGTCATTACCTACAGCGTCTACTAGTCGATTTGTCAACTAAAAATTTCATCTCACTGTCTTAGGAAGATCCACACGTAATCGACTGCTTTTCAAGAGAAAAAACAAGATAGCATTTCGTGAAGTGCGCGCGGACACGTCGATTTCGATTTGCGCGATTCACGCGACGGGTCACGGAAATCACAAGTGCCCGATCAATACTGCAAGGTGTTCTCCAATCCCGCCGCCACTTCTGCTTGATGGTGATGGCTGAATGACGACTGCTCATGATTCCACTTGTTTCATATTCAGTGTTTCAATTGTTCAAATGGGGCACTTGCAATTTTTGTGAAGCCTGCGACGTATCAGAGGAATCGAAAGTGCCTCCATCACCCCCCCCTACTTTTTTCACGTTTTATGGGCGCCGCGGCGAGCACGGCCGAGCCGGTAGCGCCCGCGAAGTGTGCGGGAAATTTGAAAATGTTCCAGCACAGCTCGCGGGCGCCTTGTGTGTGTTGTGCCTTGTGTACTCCTGTGAATCCATCGCAGGTTTCGCGAAAATCAGCGAAACCTGCGATCGCGGACTCTGACATCAGCCATAGGAGGATATGTGTACTGCCGGCAGAGACGCAGTCGGCAGCTGCGACTGTTCCGCATGGTCGCGTCATAGCACCCCTCGAAAAATGATGGATCCTGTGCCGAACTCTTGAGCAGTCTGTTGCTAAATGTTGAGGATTTGGATATGTACCCGAGGTTGGGGACATTGTCAAAGGTTGAGGACCCATCCCCTCACCCGCGTCGGGGACACCCGAAGTTGGGGACACGACCACGGGTTGGGACACGTTCCCGAGATTGGGTACCCATCCCCGAGTTGGCTAAGGGGACCCATCCTCGACTTGAGGCTTGCTGCAACCCGCCCATGGCGTCACGAGAGTCGAGAGAATTCGTGAACCAGGGAGTATAGCCACTTCAGGGGAGCGGGGTGAAGGCAGTCACTTGTCATACGTGAAAAGCTGGAATGTGTGAGTTACTTCCACAACATCTCATCACGTCATAGCCCAGTCCCCACGCACTACATTTCAGTACATTTACGTTTTGCGCCTACCGTATTCAAAAAATCGCCGAAACAGAACACGTTTTAGAATAAAATACTGAACTTTGCTCTGACGAAAAAAAAAACTCACAGTATAAAACGGATCACCTATTATAGCAACGATTTGCCGATGCGCAGCTGACATATCGCCCTCACTTGTTTGCTCAACAGAACGTATCATTTTTATCTATCTGAAAAAAGAACGGATCCTCTGAATATTCCCTATCCTTCTGACATAGCATATAATGCCTAAGGCATATGTGTAGGGAAGAATACAACGTCATGGCACCCATGTAGTGAGGTGCATCTAGATCAACGGAAGTCGTATTAAATTCAGAGGAGCCAAGCTCAGTCAACCAATACTCGGAGTGAGGATTATGACCGTCATGATTGAATGGTTAAAGCATTAATACATTGCACGATAATATACGTACTTCGAGCATGAGCGCCTTTCCCCACAGAAGAATAATCGTTTTTTTTTTTCCTTCACAAGGCTCCCACGCTTATCAAACGAGTGCTTGACTGTTGTGAAATCGTCTAAGCTGTGTTCTTTCCCACATTTCATTTCGCCTTTTAGGCTTTGTTCACACATTGCGCTACGCTCGAAACGACCGAATCTGCGGTTCAAATGCGTATCGATTCACAAAATGGGAGGAGCGTCGAATCGCGCATTCAAATCTGCGAATCCTCTTAAAAAATGAGTGTCTATCGATCAGTCAATCGGAGATCGCAGCATCGAAACGGCGGTGCGAAAATCCTCCAGCAACGCTAATAGGGCGTGGTTTACTACGTCGATACGTATCTAAACCTTTTCGCATCCGCGTTCGCGCGTGTGGAAATTCTCCTGGTCGATACGTATACAATTCTTTTCGCGAATTCGAATTTTCGGATGATTCGAAAACTGTGAACAATGTCTTAGACCTCCATACTGGAAGCTTCAATAAAAGATGCTTCTTCGATGACTGATTTTAAGCACGCTAAGCAACACAGTAAGATAGGAACTAAAGATAAAAACTGGTAGGACAGAAAGAACTCTTCCATGGCAAATTAGGGTTTTAGGATGAGACTTCAGGGAGTGGACTTAGATTTCGACATTTGCGCTTTTCCTCATGTCAGCTCAAAGCTTGCAGTTACCAAGAGGCCCGACCAAGTCCAGTCTACTTTTCCCGATATTTCTAGGTTATGTCTTCAAAATAACTCTGCGGTGCAGCCGCGAAATTCAGAGCCGCAAGCTTCGCCACCCTCACCATGTGAGGAGGTAGAGCTCGAAAACAAAGCAAAAATATCCCAGAGAAGTGTCATAAACGAGCTCTCCTGGCGCGAAAGGAAACACACATCAAAAGCCTGCGATTTCAACAAATCGTCGAGATTGAAAATATTTGAACTTCTATTTCATGCTCTCTGCATTTCCATTCAGCACACTCTGACGCTGGCGGTAACACCTTTTATTGATGCCACCGCTCACGTGACGTAGAGATACGCCCCACGCGTAAGGCAGGAGACGCGGGAAGCAAACGCTTCCTACTGACGTCAAATAATATTGACACCCCTTACGAATTAATCTTTAAATCCACAACGCCCACTCTATGGAAAAAATAACCCAAAGACAAATCCGTGCAGTAAGCTGTGAACAGGAAAACACATCGTGCACGAAACCATTCACAACAAAACAATTTATCATAAAAACAACAACAGTTAATATAGACGTTGAGCTTTGCCCATAGTAGATTTGATGTTCAACGAGCGCACGTTCTGCCAGTTCTTCTTCAAGAGGGACACGAGGAAGTTGATCGATAGAGATATATTCGAAACAAGCTCTTCTTGAGTCATTTCAACATGTCCTACTGCCACAGAAAGACAGAGCACCTATAAATAAGTTTATTCACTATCATAACTTGTGCGAATAACCCTGAACATACCTTCTTCATCTGGAATTTGATTGTAGCCTTGATCTCCTCAACCTTCACTGATAGCGGTTCCCCGTGTGAAACAACCGAAGGGAATTTTCCAGCCTTGTTGAGACCAGGTCCAATAATACGAGGAATCTGCTTAATAAGTGACTCAGAAGCGAGGAATGCATCGTAACTCTTTGCGAGCTTCTTGATCAGCTTCTTGTTCTTGTTCAGTTTCTTGAGGTCATCAGCGCTCATGCATGGGATTCCGTTTGCATTGGCCTCATCCAAATGATGCTGATCTCCAAAAACGCACACCTTCATGGCCGGTCGGGGAACGCTCTTCAGCCTGCAACCAATCCCGCCTATAAGAATGCAACAAAGGCAATAATCCAAAAAGATTAGTGTCGTCTGACAATTTTAGTTGCGTCAAACACCAAATTATAGATAATGGCTCATCCAAATGAGATTTCTTTGTTTTGAAAATTCCTCACTTGAGAGAACGGTATGGCGCTATGGTAAACCGATTCGTAACTTCGCACCTGCATCCATGTTTAGAAAAAACTGCGAAAAATGGGTTCACGAAACAGGCTCCATGTAGGAATGAAAACGATGGCGATCAACTAGCTCAAAATTGGGCGAAAAGCCCCACTGACTTCCTTACAACTAATAACTAGCGTTGAAAGGGTCCGAAATCGCCCTCATCTTCAATCTCACTCAAATATTTATCTACTGTGTCTTGGCTTTTTGGCCCAGTTTCGAGGTCGTTTTGTCACTGAAATCGAAATCTTGGTCTTTGGTACAATTCATTTCGACGCACGCCACGCCCTCTGTGGGCGGGGCTCCGCTTAGCTGATGTGTGTTTTGTATTACGTGAGACCTTGCCCACCCATCCCACACTTGACCCGGTCCCTCCGGATCCCGAGGAGCTAGGGAATTTCGTGACAGACATACAGAACGACAGACAGACAGACGACAGACGAAGCGCTTTATAGTAAGTAGGATGTTGCATGAGATATTATCCTTGAACGTGGGAAAGCCTTTGCTCCACTGAGCAAAACTAGAGCTCAAACAGTTAACAACCCTTGACATTTGGAAAATAGGACGGCTACAACCTTCCATTAACCCTTCCAAAGCAGCATTACAGGGGCCGTAAGGTATGCTTCCCCGAATGTATGCTTCCCCGAATGCTTGCGGGGACGAAAGTCCCTTTAAATTTTTTGTTTTGAACGACACTGTTTCTTTATTCTCAATGCATGTTTACTTTAAGCAACACACATATATTAAATGTAGGCCCTTTATCAGGACAATCCCAGTCCCCTAACCCTTCGGGGAAGCATACCTTACGGCCCCAGAAGACTTAGCAAGTGTAAATACGGGCCTGTTGGTTAATATGTATAACAGCCATTACCAAACAGAACCATGTACGGCTATCGATTCACCCGCGTGAAAATTTATACCCTCATCTCGTGAAGAAATGGCCGAAAAGAGAGTTTGTGGACAAGTTCATTTTCTTTCATACATATCTTTTTCTTCTTCTACTAACTATAAACCAAATAAATCATGATTTCGTGCTGCCAGACGACTTCAACGTTTCTTTGCATTCACCTCTACAAAAAATAATTCCAAACAAGACTATTATGAAGACAACGCTTACCAAGCGTTAACCGTTATCAGTTTGTTCGGCAAAGCCTCCCCAATTTTTAAGACCCTGGGTGAGGGTCCGCCATTTCACAATGGCTCCCTGTAAACTACAGGTAGGAGTGGAGTACCTGACGGCGCCGCTGAAACGCTTGTCCTTTTGGGGATCGTAGTTCTTGAGGCCAATTTGGAGCTCTACAGTCTCACGGAACTTCCTCTTCTTCTCCTGAGCGCCCTTGAGGACATCAGCCACAGCCTCGTTGAGAGCTTCACGTGAAACCTTCGACATTGTTACCCCTGAAATAAAAAATTCACAATACCCCGATGCAGACTCAAAGTGAACGAAGATAGACGCTAAAGTTCAAAGAAAATAGAGCTGCTCAAGGTGCTTTATGAAGCACCCACTGCAGCATCACGAGAAAGAACCAAGTCAAGCGTGCATCTGGAATCCCCACTTGTGTCAGGTCGTGTTAGAGATCAAAATGGTTCGAGATCTTGTTTAAGAGCTGAGGGGACAGCTGGGAATGTGAAGAGATGGTGCGAGTCCCCTATGGATTTACAAACCAGGACTTGGCTCATGCTTGGAAAGTCGCTATCACGCTTATGCTAGGCCCTGTAAAGATCCCTGCTCGTAATGGAACCTGACAGATCCACAAATTACAAGCAAATAGAACTAGCACCACCAATCAGAAAGACAGAGACATCGCAAAAGACTGATGAAGTGCCCCAAATATCACGATCGGCAATTTCTGGCATACGGTGAGTCGTCGCAGACAATCGTTTTAGGACCAACAGTGTTACAAAAGAAATTTCTGCGAAAATAGCGAAATTACGGGGCGCTGATCAGGAGCGAACATGAAGAATGTATAGTTGAGGTAGGGAAGGACGAGTTATAGCAATTTCTTTGTGAATATACACAATGTAAGACTTTGACAAGAGGATTTCCACCTACAGTAGTCAGTGCATGTCAGCCGCAGTGCGGCCGCGTCGCGTGCCAACTTCGCGTTTATCAAGGTTGATGCCGCGGCCATCGCTCCTTGTTCGGCTGTGTATGTTTTCATGTGTCGTTGATGAATTAATGAACTCGTTATTTCCTGGCAGAGCTCTTGGTTCAAATCGCGTATTACCTGCTCGACAAGGAAATATTCTATCTGCTCTCGAGATTAGCGTGTTGTAAACTGTGATCTCTGTGAACTATCCCAGTTTCTTGTTGTTTAGTAGCCTTTTTCTTTTTATTACTGTCTTTGCTCTGGTTCAGGATCATGTCAAAGGTCGCGGAGAGGAAAATCATCAACGAAAAGATCGCGAAAGTTCGTGAAGTTGTTCATGGTGTCAGTACAAATGATATCATATTGGCTTTGTACTCGTTAGATATGAATGTTGAAAGGACAATTCAAGCGTTCTGCGAAGGTATTGTTGTATTCCTTGGGAGTTACTTGCGTGGAACTGGTTAAAACTTCCCTTGAATAACTTGTTAGCAGACGGAGCGTCGGAAGTACTCGACGACTGGGTACGACCAGCTAGCGGCTCTTCCAAGAATAAGAACAAGAAAAAGAAGAATAAGCAGCACACCGTGCCGGAATCAACTGCAGCACCAGTCGCGACCGCCACCACTGCTCCCTCTACAGCCTCCGCATCTAAAACGGCTAAGGCAGCTCCTCCAGCGAAAGGTATGTGAAACTAATCATGCGATCGCACGTCATTGATGCGTTTTTAGTCCACGAAAAACCACATGACCGCAAACTGAACGTGGTCTAAGGCAGCTTAAATTGTGCATTGGGAACTTTAGTTTCAAGGAGTGAAGGCAGTGTGCCTATCGTAGTGAGAAGGAATGTCGAATATTGTTCAAAACACTATTGAGTGGTTCGAAGATGTTTGAAGTTGTGATCTTGCTATGACACTCTGAAATTAGTTTCATTCCCAATCAGATTTGTACAACTTGTCGGTCCAGGGTATTAGACGAATGTATGATTTGGAGTTGCCAGTTGGAAATAGAGTTGTGAGAAAGCCAAGCTTTCGGATGTGTATGAAAATTTTGAAAAGACGCCGTGCCTTACAGAGGTTTCAAATCTACTTTTTGAGTTCAGTCGCTAGGCGTTCGAGCGTTTCAGTGTACCACGTCCCCGAGGCTCCGAAGAGTGTCTTAAAGGGGCAGTGAGTGTCCCTGGGGAGCCTCATGCACATGTCTCAAAAGACTGATGATTGTACAGCGTCTTTCGAAACATCGAGCCAGCTGGCTTTTTGGGGACATTCACCGGCAGGGTCGACGTCCGTTGTACCGATTCCCAAAATTTTCCTTCACCACCGCCATCTTCATAGCCATGGGAGACATACGATTCCCTCCTCTCTCATCTCTCCACCGTCGGCCCTTGCCACGCTCAAGGTTGTCACCCGGCAACCGCTAGAACCTTTCGCAGCTCACGATGAAAACACAGCCCGTTAGAGATCAGTGTGGAAGTGGTAAGTGATGAAGGTATTAAGAAAGATACCAAGAAGAAACGGCCTGGAGCCTAGCAGATGGGACCCTTTTTGCCCGTTGATAAGCGCGTCAGGCGTTTTTCATAGGTGCTGACCTCGTCTAAAATCTCTGCTCAAGCGACTCAAGTCAGACAGCATGGTGTGGACCGGCAGCGACACGAGCGGCGCGGGTATGGCCTAGCTAGGCCGCTGGGAGCATACCCTTCGTCGCGAAACCCGCATCCTCAAGAGGCCTGCCTGCTTGTCTTTGCGCTAGGTATATTTTCCCGTTTTCGAACTAATCTTTGACTCCTTCTTTGCCTTTTCCGATGCTCGTCCTTCAATCATGAAGTTGGGTGCATTGTATAGTGAAAGGTTACCACAATCGTGATCTCGTTTATGGTACACGAGGCTCATTTTACATTTAGCTTTTGCAGACACACAGATATATCGACATACAAGTAATATATACCAATACGGCACACCAAGTTAGCGGTTAATATAGTGGAAGGGTTCTGAGACCGGGGCTAAACACTACAACTTTCCCTCCAAAATTGCCGCCAAGCCTCTTGAAATTTTAAATACGAACTCTTGCCGCCTTCACTAACACAAAGGAAAACAAAAAATATGACTTCCTAAGTAGATCCTTCCCTTGTTGGACTTTGCACAACGGTGGTTGATAATGCTCGCTGGCTCTTTCGGAATATTTTACCTCGAATTTCTCCGGACGCCATTGCAAAGTGTGGCACTAGAGCAGTGCAAGTAAAAGCAGCCTGACGCAGCCGAAGAGTTTGAAATATCGTAATCGTCATCTCATTCACTCTGTGCACTGATTTCAGCGGTGGACGCGACTACCCCGCAGCTGCCTGCTAAGACTGCACCTCAGACAAATGGGTTTGTAATCCAAGCCAAACGTGAGTTTCCTTTCCGTCGTACTTTTTTGCTGTTCACTTATTGTTGTTCTTACACAACCATGAATGTCTCTTATCGTCGTTTGAGTGGCATAATTGATCAGCAGAGCCATTCTTGAAAATTGATATGTGGCGATCTGTCCGAATGATGACGGTTCTCCATTGCAATGACTGATTATGACACTTGTACTACTCGATTTAAGCGTATGGAGTTGCCGATGCATGAAATTAACCGATTCTTTCAGCGCAAGAGGCGAAACCTCAAGCTGACAAAAGCATTCCAGTAACGGAGCAAATCCAGCAAACATTCAAGGTTTGTGTTGATAGTGTTCTGTAGGGTGGGAGATTTTCCTACCCTTGAGTTGAATGTGGATATTTTGTTTACGGCAACCAACTCTTCAGGCTCTTCGCGCGGCTGTAACGGATCGTGAGAAAGAGCTTTTATCTGGCTGTGGAGTAACCTCAAAATTCACAGATGCAAATTTCGACCACTTGATTTCGCTGATTCAGAAGTTTGGCTCAGGTTTGTGTAGCACTACTACCTTGTTGGGGCTACCGATCGAAAAATCGGCTCCCCACTTTCTTCACACTTTGGGGCGCGGCCGAGTTGATAGTGCGCTGGGGCCGTATTCAATCCTTCCTCCAGGGGATGCATCCCCCTCCTCTGATTCAATCCTCTGGGGGACAAAAAAGGGTTGCGTCATAGGACCGCATACCTCTGTGTTTCTATCTGCCAGACAGTTAGAGCAGCGCGACTACCCTCCACCGTTAAAGCACTCTCTTCCGGTTTACGGACTACTTGATTTTTCCTCAATGGTCCTGCCGCGATGGCTAGAGCACAGACGATTAGAGAACGGGTGAATGCCCTAGGACTAAGCCTTGGAGAGGAGAGGGACCCGCGAGAGCAGAGGTTTAAAGGGCTGAGTTCAAGTAGTCCGTCGACCACTCTTCCCCTGAGGCGTCGCATTGCTCTGTCTGGCCGATAGAAACACAGAGGTGTAGCGGTCGTATGAAGCAACCCTTTTTGTCTTCCTCAAGGATCGAATCAGAGAAGGGGGAGGGCTTGAAGACGTCCCCTGATGGAGCGTTTTCAAATTCACTCGCACAGTTCGCAGGCATGGACGCTCTCGTCGCGGCTGTGCCCCAAAATGTGAAGAAAGAGGGAGGGGGAGGGGGGCGAAAAAATCGAAAAATAATGCACATGCGAAGGCAACGTATGCAGCGGTATTTTTTCCCTCGTGCATAGGTTATGTCATGCTTTTGAACTTTTTGTTTTGGCAAGTTTCTACTGTTGAACTATGCCATAACCTCACAACGTTTTTGCGTACTTTCTAAAGCACGCACTTTCTCGAAGTGCGCACTTTGATACGTTCTCTGCTATTCCCTACTATAAGGAATGTAAGCTAACTTCTCACTTTTCAAACCTCTTTTGTGTGAGAATTTTCGTTAGGTTTTCTTCACAAGGTGAAAATTTGTACTAGTGTTCTGGCCGCCATTAAATCATAGTTGTAAAGTCATTAGCTAGCTGCCGTAGGGAAACTCATGCTCTGCAAAGCATATAATTCTTCAAGCTTGTGACAATTTGAATGCCACGTATAGTTCACCGTTTAAGTTACCGATACATCACCTCGAGGAGCATCCGCAGCAGTTGGCATGCCAAAGGCGGTGTCTCCAGTTCAGGCTGCTGCTATTAAACACGCCACCAGTCAGTCTAGTATTTCAAGTTCGCTTGGAGCGGACTCTGGTGTAAATCTTAGTCCAACTCACAAAGGTATGTTGTAGTTTCATTCTAACTGTTCAACTAGTTCTCATCCTCTACTCATAATTTTTCAATTTATCCTCGTGTCGTACTGTCAATTTGAGTGTGTCTATAGTTCTATTTATTTAAGAGGAAAAGAAACCAACATCGGAGAGCAAGCCGAAACCCGCTAAAGTCGTTAGTGGTGGCATAATGATGCAGTCGGATGCACTCACACCAGAACAGTTAGAAGCCTTGCAGCGCTCACTTGCTGAGCAATTGGCGGCGTGCGGCATAGATGCGTCCATTCTGTCCGGTGTCACTGGAGGCGACATGCCTGTTCGTCGCCCTCGTAAGACGGACGGACCAAAGAGAGGTGGAATCGTGAAGAACGAAAGGACTTCTATACGTCCTCAACTATCCATCCTTTAGGCGTGGAATCTTCCACGGATGTTATTTGTTTGCTCACTTGCTATACGCCGATTTTTTTTCCTTGTTAAACAATACTTGGGTGTTAAGGATCCCATATCTTTATAGAAGCATAGGCTTGTCGTTTCCCTTTGTTTTCAATTTCACGTTTTCATATCTAAATTATGAGTGGCCTTACTATGCACACGAGGTGATGAAACCTCGACATATTGTGATCAGTTGTAGAATGTTTTTGCTACCAGTCGAATCGGTGCCTTTTCCTCTTGTGGGACTTCCCGTATACGATTGTTCAGCCGTTCTCTCATTCGTTTTCCTCTCCTATTCCCTTTCCTGTTTTGTTTCCATGCTGCACGTATTGTGATTACGTCGCGATGGAGGTCATCGCTGCATGTCAGCTCTACTTTGTGATTTATTACTACTGCATTAGCTTCTTCTAATATCCAAAAATTCGAATATATGTACGCTCTAAACCAAATATCTATTATTCGAGTGGGATAAATAATTTATTGCATACCATGACAAATGTTTACCACGGCTCATTCCATACTCTCCTCCGTTAAGCATCCTGTGGTGTGGTAAAAGTTCGCAACACTTTTTGCTACTTGATTACTTATTCGCTGCCAACTGACATAGTGTCGAAATTACACATGGTCAGTAAGCGTAGTCATGCCATTTCTATGCAGCCTTAGCGGATGGCCGAACACTACTTTGTACGGGACTGCCTGCGACTTCCCTTGGTCCCCATGTGCCATTTGAAAATATGTTGAGCTGTGCCCAGATGTTCTACTGATGGGTGAAATGCAGCGAGGTTAGAGGAGTGTTGTTGTTTTCGAGACCGTCGTCAAATATGTAAATGTTTATAATGAAATTAGCAGCTCGGCTGATAACATTAAGTCGAACGAATTTTTTTTTCAACGTTTTTAGACAGTAGGTAGTTATGAAGACCTACAATCTAACGCCAAACGCCTTTTCGTGGAAGCTCCGTTCTTAGCAACCGCTACCACAGTCACCTATCAATGGAGGAGAGAAAAGGATTTTCGGATCTCATTTAGTAGGGGGCAAGTGGTGAGACAGTTGCTGCTGCATACAGAAATTTCATCTGCGCTCAGGGAGGAAAGTCCTAGGGAGGCACAAGCCCTTCCGTTTTCGCTTTTACACTCACCCCGGATCCTCATTCCTTTTGCGGAAATTCTGATTACTTTACGTTATCTGGACAGTTGCACCACGGGTGTAGTTCGCTAGGACAGAAAGCAACATTTCCGTGGCGCGAAACGAAACTTTTAGCTGCAAGAACCGTTGGGCCAACCATAAATAGAGATGGACCTGGGGATACTAAAGCGAATCAAGCTTTGGGGTGCGAAAATCGGAGAAATCGCTTTCTGTCCCCGCCGTACGCTGAATGTTGGGGATGGGGAAAGGTTGGGGAGGTTCGTCGCAAGACCCACTTTGCAACGGTCGCACCTTTGATTTTGTGGCTTTGTTTCCGCTCGTCAATACCTTCTCTCATCCAAAAAAAAATGGAAGAATGGAAACAAAGCTACAAAATCAAAGGTACGGTCGTTGTCCAGTGGGTCCCTAACTACGGTGTGGCGAAAGTTCGAATGTGTGTGATCACAATGGTCATGAGCCGCTGATAAGGTGAGAGAGCGCAGACGAGAGATGGATCTGAGGCGGCTAAAGGACCGGGTTCAAGTAGTCCGTCAACCATCCCCAACATTCAGCATACGGCCCCGGCGAACAACGCACTTGCGCTACATGCCACCCTCTTATTAGAGAGAGAAATTTTCTATCATGTCTTTATTTTTTTTTCATAATTTGCTTTCGGCTTTACTTTTTCGGTGAAACTCGGGTTCGGGGGGGGGGGGGGGGGGCACGCGATGGCGTGGCTCTGTTCTCGTCTGCTCTAGCAAGGCTGTCATCGATGGCGCGTATTTTGAAACTGCCACATAAGTGGCGAAAGAGGTAACTGTCCCCTGTGGACTAAGCCTTGGAGGAACAGACGAACAGAGCGCCACGCCATCGGTCCCCCCTCCCCCGAACCCGAGTTTCACCCTTGTTCTTATAAAACCTGGTGAAACTCTGGTTCAGGGGGAACGACGGACCCACTTGAACTCAGCCCTTTGAACCGCTTCTGCCCTCTCTCGCGGGTCCCTCTCCTCTCCAAGGCATAGTCCTAGGGCATTCACCCGCTCTCTAACCGTCTGTGTCTAGCCATCGCGGCAGACCATTGAGGAAAAATCAAGCCCGATGGCGCGCATTTTGAAACTGCCAGACGAACAGAGCGCCGCGCCATGAGTTCCGCGAACATGAGTTTCACCAAGCAGCTTTTTTGGTTTGGAATTTATCTTCACGTCCCTTACAACAACGCGGTATCTTGGCATGTTGAAGATACAGTGCGTCAAATATTATGCAAGAGCATTCAACCTATCGCTTTTCGTACTTTCCGTGCATTCCGGACGCTCCACACCGACGCAGTTTGGAAGCAACCTTTCTTGGTCACGCTCACATCTATGTACAAAAGGGTGCTCACTCAGTTTGGGGAGGGGGCGTATCCGGCTCTTTGAGGCCGGATGCAAAGCCCCGACTGGGATGGGTACCCACCCCCTCTCCCCAACCTTGGGGAGAGGGGATGAGTACCCATCCCCTCGTCGGGGCTTGCTGCACCCGGCTCCTGGTGTAATGCGGTAAACCCGTGAACCAATGGAATGCAGGGACTTCAAGGAGGATGGCACGAGCCATATGTGAAAAGCTGGCATGTGCGAGTTCACAATATCTTGCAGAGAAGCCGCTGATCTTGCGTTCCCCTGATGCATTTGAGCTGGTACC